AAGGGGGTGGGATCCCAGGGGGGCAGTTAGGGGTGGGGGGTCCTGGGAGGGGGTGGTCAGGGGACGAGGAGCAGAGGGTGGTTGGGAGTTCCGTGGGGGGCTGTCAGGGGGTGGGGGTGTGGATAGGGGTTGGGGCAGTCAGGGGTCGGGGGGTTGGATAGGTGGTGGGGATCCTGGGAGGGGGCGGTTAGGGGACAAGGGGGGTTGGATGAGTTAGCAGTTCTGAGGGGGGCAGTCAGGGCCGGGAAGTGGGAGGAGGAGGATAGGGGGCAGGGGCCAGGCTGTATGGGGAGGCACAGCCTTCCCTACCCGGCCCTCCATACAGTTGTGCAACCCCGATGTGGCCCTCGGGCCAAAAAGTTTGCCCACCCCTGCCCTACAAGCATATGTTGAAAAGGCAGGGACAGATTTTCTAAAAACTTTATGGTCTAAGATCAGTAGAAATGTTTCTTTTTGTAAAATTCCAATGGAATTTTTTTTTATAATTCACATAACCACCATTCCCAGGGATCATTTCCAGAAGTCACATTACATAGTTGTGCCAGTTCACAAAGTGACTAGAAATCAACCATAAATAAATGTGTATCTGACTAGTTTGTCTTTGTCCAAGCTGAGTGAAATGTGAAAAGTTATCACGATTTATTCTGAAGGTTTAAGTTAGATTCTGAAAAATCTTTGAACTTTAATAAAAGTAGGACTTGATCTTCCAAAGTGCTGCATACCTTCAGCTCTGATTGAAATCAAATCAAAAGGAGCTCAGGGCACTTGGCATCTCGTAAGAAACACTCAATACCTTGCAGGACCAATCACCTATACATTAACAACATAGTTTAAAAATCATGCCTAGAAAATAAGCTGTGTCCCTTTAAACTTAAAACAAAGACTTGCACAAGAAGCAACACATTTTTATTCCAGCCAAAATTTTACTGTAAAGGCTTTCTTTCCTTGGTTTTGTGCAAAAGGTTTTGGTAGTTGCTAGGGTATGCTATGGATTTAATAAGCTTTTCCTTTCCATCTCTGGGTGCTGGAGGCTGGTACAAAGCCTTCAGTGGAGTTCAATGGCTTGTTCTCTTGTTTCTTTTCTCATGATCCATTCAAATGGAAAGTTAAGTTTCCAATTTGAATTGATAGGTGCTTGTTTTCCATTGGTTGATATCTGCATTGAGCATGGTGCGCTCTGTGAAAGTAACATGTCCTTCTGCATCAATGAGAATGACTGTGTTAGTCCTGAAAGAAAATAGGGAAGAAAAAAATTTTAAACTTCGTTTTTGTCTAACCATTTGCACAATACTTTAATCTAAATTTTTCTATTAATTTCGCTTGACCACAATAGCATCACATAGAAATAGGTCTGAAAAACGCCAATAAAAACTCAGATTTGAAGAAGGATTAACTTGGGTTCCCCCCACCCCATTCCACTGAATCAAACTCTGTCCTATCTTGCTTCACTGCTGCACTTATTAAGGTAACAACCACACAAAGCTTTAGGCTGATGGATAAGAAGAATAAAGAGCAGAGAAGACTAATGATAGTCTTTTTAATTGCTGAATATGTTCAAGTCAGTTCTAGCCTGAAAATAAATTTTATCTGGCAGCATTTAGTTGGCATGAATATTATCAGACACATATATCCTTGCTGATGATTTATATTAACTCACTTCTGCATTCTTCCCTTTTGTATCAAATGCTCATACAAATCTCCTCAGCCTTATTACTCACCAGCCCAGAATACCACTAATCACCATCTGAGGACACAAGGTCATACAAAGAACCTCTCCATTTCTCTCCTGAGGAGCACAATATCTCCAAAGAGCAATTTCTGAACATTGAGATGCAAGTCTGCTCACATACAGATGTAAAACTGCTATGTGTAACTCCACTGACTTCAGTGCAACTACTTCTGATTTACACAGCAAAAAAATCAGGCTTGGTGTGTGAAGACGTGAGAACTTGCAGTCCACTTTAGCCTTGATTACCAGCATTAATTAGTACAGCCAAAAATCACAGATGTTCAGGAACACCTATGTACTGGTCAACTGTCCCTTATTTCAAACCCAAGTTGACCTCTGTTTTACATTAATTGCATTTTCACACAGGCAATTTAGTCTACCAATTAACTCAAAGGATTGGCAGTCCACACTTCTGAGTTCCATGCCTAATGCTACCACTAATTCTGTGGCGTGGGTCAAATCACCCCTGCTCACCCATCTGCAAAATGGGTACAACTGCCTGAATGGGATGTTGTGAGGCCTAATGTTTATGAAGAGCTTGGAGATTGCTGGATGAGATGACCTGTGTAGTATTAATTAGAACTGAAGTCCTAAATAAAGAAACAGCAATGGTAAAAAATAGTTTAGACTAGTTCTGCTTACATATCATTATATGTTTGCCACACTCTTCCTATTCTGTCGTATATTGGGGGTTTATTCCACTTTGACTCCCACATTCAGAACCATTAATTGTGAATGGTGTGACTCCATGTGGAGGGAAACGGTGGGGGCGAGGGACCTGTCTGGTTTTAAGATTAAATTAGATAAGTTTATGGAGAGGACGATTTAATATTAATACCTATAAGATGTCTAGGACATAGCAATAGAAGCTAAATAGTAT